AGAGCTGCTGTGAAGAAGAGCTAATGTCCAGCCCATGCTCCAAACTGGGAGACTTTGCTTGCCCACACGGGGTACCTTTTTCTGATTTGCCCAAAGGTGCTGGAGACACTTGCTGAGGCCCCGATCAACAGCGTATATGTCCTACAAAGTGCCTCTCCTTCCAGGCAGGTTAGGATCCAAACAGCTGTCTGTAAGACCTTTTGCTTGTAAATCCGAAGCAGCATCGAACAGCCGGCTACTGACAATGCTGTCCGGCGGATGCATACTTCTGCTCTAGGAGTTAGGCTTGTTCTTATCATAAATCTAAATGGGAAGTTCTTGGGTAAGAGAAAAGATTGTGTTTAAATAGCTCGGTGTACAACAGTTTTCTTTTTCATTGCAACATAGTTGGGTTTTTTGTTTTGTTTTGTTTTCCTTCCTAGAGCAACCATAACGGACACAGGATTAGCTGCAAAAACCACTTTGTTGTACTTTGGAATTACAGAATTCTACATTCCCACAGATTCACGTTGTACACAAGGCTAAACAGACTTTAGCCAGTTTTCCTCAGAGAGGGATAGCATGGGTTCTGCACAGTATTTCAGGCCTAGTGAGCTGTCGTCAAATTTGGAGGGAAGGTCGTGTCAACGATTCTTACATTAAAAAAAAAAAGTTTTTAAGTGGTTTTTCTTTTTCAGTTGGAGGTAAAGTTCAAGTGGCATATTCCTTTGTGTTCCCCCAATCGTTGCACCAAAAACGCAAAGCAATCTCCCCTCGTAAGTAATGTCAGCAGCCGTGAAGGAAAACCTAAAGCCCTAAATGGCTTTTAAGAGCCATTCTGAGCTTAATTTTAGTATCTGGATCCTGGGCCTCCGAGAAGGATGAGGCAAAGGCTCACCCCACCACACTTTCTCATTGGCGAGCACTGCAGAGTCGGAGCTGGGGGGCTGTTAATCTCAACCTCACTGCCCTTGAAGGTGGAGGGTTGCACGCTCGCGGAAAGGCACGGCACGCCTCACCTGCACCTCCCCCCTTTGGCCTGCCCAGTTTTGCGAATATGATGCAGGGAGGGCGCCTTACGTGAGATTTCAATTTTCCTTTCCGTGGTGGAAATTAAAGTCTAAGTGACTTTTATTAGGCCTTTCATTCAGATACCATGATCAGTGAGCGGATAAAGAAAGCCTCACCCTGACGATGTTCCTGTGCCCTAATGTCACAATCCAGAGGCGTTTTCAGTGGCATCGCTTGTTTGCCTGGAGGGTTCAGAGAGGTTTCAGTCTCTCCCACACCTCGTCCCGAAAGTTGCCATTACAATACCTGCTCGTCAGAACTTGTTCATCCGCACTGGTGATACGAGCCCTGTCTTCGAGTGACAGAAGGCCCAGAAATACTGCTCTCGTGGTGGCTCTGCCCAAGAAACCTAGTTTTCTAACTGGGCTTCCGAGCTATGGAAACTTGGTCACCTTTCACCTGAATCTCTAATATGCTTTGCAAATGAGGAGCTGGTGAGAAAAATATGCAGCTTGAAGCTGGCAAAGTTTTAAGTGGGTAAAGCTTGTAGTGTTCAGATCATAGCCCCAAATTACTTAAGGGCTTCTGCTAACATGGAAATAAGACTCTTTTCTGCCGAGAGATTGGATATTCAGATAGATTTTTTTATGAAGGAAATAAATATTTCAACATGCAAACACTACCCAAGCGGGTAGTGATGCTTCAAAACAGGGTCAGAGGTCAGGTGTTTTGTTTTGTTTTTTTTTTTCCTGTTTGTTTTTTGGGACAGCTCCCAGTTTAAAGGTATTGCACGTTACTACCTACCCTGAGCCTCACATGGTAAAGTAATTACTGCCAGCTAGCACAAAATATGTACATTCATTTTTATTTCCAAAGGTCCTGAGATTCCTCTCTGCATTTTTTGGTGGTCCTCATTATAAAAAAAATAGATCACGAAGAATGGATGGTTTTCTCTATCATAACTGTAAAAAAAAAAAAAAGTGGGCCTGAAAAAATGCATGTCTGATAGGTCAACTTTGAACAGACTTAATTTGTAGTAATACGAGTAAATAAAAATAGAATGTGGTGGTTTTTTTTTTTTTTTCCTTTAGAGAATAGTGTGGTTCGTTTTCATAGTTTGCCCACAAAACATGCCACAGACCCCCTAGGGTATTGGATACCTGGAGGAGAGGCTGACCGCTAGGTTATCTGAGCGGATGGGGGTCGAGATGCCTTCAGACAGGCACAGGGATGTGTGGCACGGCGTTGTTCTGAAGCTCAAACACCGAGTGGAATTTCGGTCACAGTTGGAATTGTTCGATGGGACTCAGGGCTTCTGCAATATCCCCCCCCCCCCCCCTTCAAATAGGGAATTTGCAGAGCAGTTAATTAGTAGTTACGCAAAACAGCAGAAACAGCCCAGACCCGCACAGGAGCCAGCAGGTAATGTCAGCGAGGGAGGCGGGCGAGGTACAGTGTGGGAGGGAGCTGAGGGCACCAGACAGAACCAGAAAGCACACTTCAGCCGCAAGAGGACAGCCAGCCAGTCCTCTGCTGCAGCCCTCGGTCGCCGTGACCAGCCCACTGCCGGCCATGGGGCCAGGTGATCCCGTTGTGATGCACCCGCCAGATCGCTTTTTTCCGAAAGAAGCCAGAAATCCAGATTTTTTTTTTTTTTTTTTTTTTTTTTTAATGAAACGTACTTCCGTAGAAATGTTGACGGCTGACTTTTTTTTTAAAGTTTAAAAACACGTGCGAGGGCCGGGTTTGGCCTCTCAGCCACGGTCGTGACTTCAGCTTGCACAAAATGGACAGAAGGCGAGCTGGGTGCTTCGTGGCAGTACCTTCTCATTCTCCAAGGGAGGTGTTCATAGCTGGGTGGGTTCTGAACAATTACTGAACAATTCTGTAGACTCCACCGCTATGGTGAAGAATGTAGTTACTCTGAAAACGAGGGCAGCTTCTCACGTTTATGTCATTTTTTCGTGCTTTTGTTTTGTTTTGTTTTGTTTTGTTTTGTTTTAGAGTCATAGATCCTTTGTCAAGGCTGACCTAACTAAGACAGCAGAGTTCCAGAAAAGTTGGTAGGACAGAGCCGCCCTTAGCTTTCTTTCCTTGCTGACTTTTAACCCATCACAAAGTAATTACTTCTCTCTCCTCCCCGCCTCTGGCATCAGCCTTTGGAATGTGGTTATTCTTTAAAGTTCACTGTGAGGCAGGACGTTATTCACACACATCTCCTTTCCCAGAGCTACTAAGCCTCAGTAGAAGACAGCGTTCGTGCCACGCTCAAACAGATGAATCATCACTCAATGTGTGCTTTTGAGTAACTGCTGGTTTAGTAATGATCAGATAAGACTTTGACGAAGTCCGTGATATTGTAATATGATTATTTTAATATTGTTTCTTTGGGGCCCGTCCTTCATGCTTTCTCCTGGCATCTGAGTTTCCTGGGTAGAGAGTGGAATGACGGAAATATGTTTGTTCTTCAGGGCAGAGAGGCGTGGTGGTGAGTAGAGAAATTAGTGTGTCCTCAGCCGCCACTGATGTCCTTCCAAATAGGTGAAGTTTAGTTTAAAGCCTGCCATTAATTCTTGGCCCCTGGCAAGAGTGGTACAAGGTTGCCTGTTTGTTCCGGGGGGGGGGGGGGGGTGGGGGGGGAGGGGGAGGACAGCAATTAGTCAACGACATTTATGACCGATTTATAAAACACAAATGAAATAATTGGTTACAAAATCATGACAAGCCTTCGCTTGTCGTTAGCAAACTTGTTCTCGACACATTGTGAAACTTTTATTACGAACACCCTTTGCAGAAAGCAAACAGCAGCCGATCTGAAGAGACCAAGCCAAAGCCCTCGGCTTTGGGAGTAGCTGTGGGAGGAGAAGATTCTTGAAGTTACGTTTCCTGTCCCCTTCCCAAACAAGCCCCCTTGTTACTAGATCCAGAGACCGTTTCGGGCAGGGAATCACCACGGTTTGGGTGTAAGACGCCCAGGTATGAAAAAGCAAAAGAAAATCTTTGCCACCAAACTTAAAAAAAAAAATTTTTTTTTAATGGTTATTTATTTTTGAGAGAGACAGAGACAGAATGCGAGCGGGGTTAGGGGCAGAGAGGGAGGGAGACCCAGAATCCGAAGCAGGCTCCAGGCTCCGGGCTGTCAGCGAAGAGCCCAACGCGGGGCTCGAACTCACGAGCTGTGAGATCACAACCTGAGCCGAAGTCAGACGCTCAACCGACTGAGCCACCCAGGCGCCCCTTTGCCACCAAACTTTGAATGCATGGGAGCCCTGTTTGGTCTTTGATGAGATTTAAGTACAGGCTGTTTGTAGAATAGTTAAGGGAGAGGCAGTATGCACACTTACAGCCCTTTGCTTGCCCCTTAAAATACCATCTCGGGGCAGCATCGAGGAAGGAGTGCCAGTGTTGACCCCAGATGCTGGCCCCGGGTGATTCTTCCGTGTCCACATCTTTCAGTGCCTCACCTCTGATCCTTCACCTCCAGAGACAGGACATTCACCAAATCGGGCGAAAAGGGGGGCCAGGAGCTAACTGTACGTGTAAAGATAGGTATCCTGGGATATAATTTAAAGCTAATTTTTATTTTTATTTATTTATTTTTTTTTAATTTTTTTTTCAACGTTTATTTATTTTTGGGACAGAGAGAGACAGAGCATGAATGGGGGAGGGGCAGAGAGAGAGAGGGAGACACAGAATCGGAAACAGGCTCCAGGCTCTGAGCCATCAGCCCAGAGCCCGACGCGGGGCTCGAACTCACGGACCACGAGATCGTGACCTGGTTGAAGTCGGACGCTTAACCGACTGCGCCACCCAGGTGCCCCATAATTTTTAAAAGAGTTTGTCCATGCCTTTGATAAGGACGTTCTCAGTTTGAAACCCATAGTTTTAGGAGAGGTGTTCCATTTCTTTCTTTCTTTCTTTCTTTCTTTCTTTCTTTCTTTCTTTCTTTCT